GATGCTGATGTGTCTCAACTTCGTTATTTGAGGTGCATCCTAACTTGTTTTCAGGCGGTCTCCGGGTTAAAGGTCAATGTGGCTAAGAGTGTGCTTGTCCCAGTAAGGAATGTTCAGGATATCTCCTCCTTAGCTGCAGTTCTTGGATGCAGGGTGGGTTCTTTTCCTATTCCTTATTTGGGGATGCCCTTAGGGGTCTCTTCAAGGATAGTGGGGAGTTGGGATTCAGTGATTGATAGGTATGCGAAGAGATTAGCAAGATGGAAAAAGCAATATTTGTCCAAGGGGGGTAAAGTTACTCTTATTAAGAGTACGTTATCGAGCCTTCCCACTTATTTTCTTTCTATGTTCCAAATCCCTTGTTCCGTTGCGGATAGGATTGAAAAAATTCAAAGGGATTTCCTATGGGGAGGAAGGGGAGATGAGTTCAAGTATCACCTTGTCAGATGGGAGCAAGTTTGGAAGCCTGTGAAATTGGGTGGACTTGGCATAAGATGAATACTTCCTTTCAATCAAGCCCTGGGTAAATGGTTATGGAGATATGGAAGGGAAAGACACTGTCTTTGGTGCAGGTTAGATTCTTGTCGGTTTGGGGAAGAAGATGGAGGCTGGTTTACACGTCCGGTTACTCTTGTGGGAGGAGTAGGGATGTCGAAGTCTATTCGGAAGGGTTGGGACGCCTTTTCTACTCATATCTGATTTAAAGTTCGTGATGGACGTCGCGTTCGGTTTTGGAAAGATCTTTGGTGTGGTTGTCAGCCACTATCTCGTTCATTTCCTAGATTATTTAGTATTGCAGTTGATAAGCATGCCTTTGTAGCTGATTGTTATCGTCATGATAGCAGTGGGATTACGTGGGATGTGCACTTTCGGCACTCTTTTCAGGATTGGGAGATGGATGAGGTATGTGTTTTTTTGGATCTTCTGTATCGGCAGGAGGGTGTTGGCAGAGAAAATGATGTTTTGATTTGGGTTCCTTCTTCCCACGGTCGTTTCGAAGTAAGATCCCTATTCTTATGTCTATCTGATTTTGTTAATTATGATTTCCCGTGGAAAACTATTTGGCAATCCATGGCTCCAACTAGGGTGGCTTTCTTTGTTTGGACTGCTGTTTGGGGAAACATTTTGACAATTGATAATTTAAGGAAAAGGGGCAATTGTATTGTTAATCGGTGTTGTCTATGCAAGAAAGATGGGGAGTCTGTTAATCACCTCCTTATGCATTGCCCTGTGGCGAATGATTGTTGGAATCTTATTTTTGGGTTGTTTGGCATGTGTTGGGTAATGCCACGATCTACTAAGGAATTGATTCATGTATGGAGAGGATGTCGTGTGAGAAGGGATGTACGCGATTTCTAAAGAGTTGTCCCACATTGTGTTTGATGGTGCACTTGGAAGGAGAGAAATAGTAGAATGTTTGAAGATAAAGAGTCGTCTACGGCAATGGTGAAACATCACATTCTTCGTTCTCTTTTCAATTATGTGAAGAGGAGTTCTTGCTCTTCTTCTGATGATTTAATTATTTTTTTGGATTCTCTGGGGCCTTAGTCCCGGTTCCATTTTTGTATAAGGGACGCGTTTCCTTTTTGAACGCCTATTTTATGTTATTATTACTTATCAAAAAAAATAATTTGTTAGCATTATAGATTTTTATTAGTACTTAAATGAATCTGCTATGTAAAACTGTCATACAATAAATAACAACCTGCTATGTAAGGCACCTTATAATACTAACTTAAGTTTAATGCCAATGGAACATAACTAGGAGCTAAACAATCTTAACCATCAATTGCATTGATGCTTTCTACTAAATATGATGAGACATGTAATACCCCTAATTTTAAAAGGATAGTCTCGGTATTTATTTATTTGTTTTAATTGTATTGTTAATTATTTAATTGATTATTTGACTAATTACTTATGTGTTTAATTGAATTAGGTATTTCTTGATTATTTGATTATATATCTATGTATTATTTGCATTTGTCTATGTGTTAATTGTTTAATTAGATTATGTGCTTAAATGGTGTTTTGATTAATTGTAAATTAAATGTTTTCTTTTCTTTTATTATTTTATTCTTTTATGGTTATGGTTAGTCGTAATGGGTCAACCGATTGGGTCCCATGGATTACTTGGATAGGAGGTTGGATGTGTGTGGATTATTACCCATGGATAGTTGTATATGTATATATATAGATATTTATTAAATACATATATAAAAAGGAAAGTAATTTATTAATTATTTTTATGGTAATTTGGGTAGTAATATTTAATCTGATGTATATGTTTTATATTTAAATAATAAAAATATACATAAATTTGATACGTGTTATGTTTTAAGTTACTTTATAATATTATGGTAACTTAAGTATTATTGGATAATCCATTAATAAATAATGGAATGTGTATAATTTATTTATTTAATAAACATATACATAAATTATATACGTAACATATTTTACTTACCTTTTTAATATTTTAATATTTATTTTTTATTATTATTTTTTTAAGTTAACCTAGATTGGGAAAAGGGTTAGGATTATTTTATTTAGCCTATAAATATATATCTATAGGTTGTAAAAGGGGGTTAGAAATATTCACGTGATATATTCTAGAGAGAGAGAGAGAGAGTTAGAGAGGGAAGGAGGAAAAGAAAAGAAGGAGGACAAAAACCCTGTAGAGAGAAGATCAAGGAAGAAGAAGTTTAACTTTCGATCCGAAAGTTTAAGGCAAGTTCTTCTTCTATCTCTTTCCCTTTGATTCGTGTTTCTGTACATGCCTAGGAAATTCCAAGATTTATTAAACACATAAAATTAAATAATTATGCATGTTTAATTGGATTAGAACATAGGTTTTATGAAATTGGTTCATATCTATTCTTGTGTTATGAATTGATAAATGCATGATTTTGATTTGCTTTCCGGTGTGAATTTTTATATGTTTAAATTATGTATTTTTCATATATGTGGAATGATGGAACGTAGAAACATGCCTAGGATTCCTGAATATTAAATAGGAACTAGGTTTAGGTTTAAATAAATTTAAATAGACTAAATTATAATGATGCTTGCTATTTGAATGTTTTAAACAAACGAATGGATTGAATCTTTTAAAATGTTTTAGCAATTGAGATTAAATGTGTAGCGTAAATTGGATATGGAGAATACTTATTTGACGGTATAATAAAATATCATCACGTATAAGATTTAGTTTGTGTAGGACATATGATATAGGAAGCTTTAATAAATAATAAGTCATTCATATTTTGTGATAACTTGATATCATATTATCATAGTTATTTCTGGATTGTTTGATGTATTTCCTTAATCGTTACATTAATTGTTGGATTGTGTGGTTTAATACACCGGTATGGGACGGTGGCATTCTAGGGACAGATTAACTTATCAGTTAAGTCCTACCTATTTTATGTAAGGGAATGGATTAACTAAAATGTTAAGTCCTACTTATATTCAAGTCAGGTCAGCTGAACAAGTTGAATGACTTATGGAGGATTAATTTATTATATAAGGGAATGGATTAACTAAAATGTTAAGTCCTACTTATATTTATACTGAATAGGATGGTACGAGATTTTATATATATAAGTATGGTGCCATGATATGAGCTTGAGTCTCAGGATCAGTGGTTAGGGTGCGTATATCGCCAGGGATGTGTAGCTAGATATAGTGTAGTTGTGTACCCTGATAGGTCTAGGTACTCATGCCCACTATATGTGCGTTTTACATGTTGCCTACTATTTAGGTTGAGACAACCCTATAGTCTAGTGAGGTTCCTTTAGTGTGTGTATATATATATATATATATACGGACTACTAGTTACTGTTGGATTGACTAGGATGTATACGTATATCGGATCTCTGCTTGGACTGTAGTAGAGTAGAACTTGTTTGTGGGCATTATTTTTTAGGTGTTCGTCAGGAATAGAGGTTGTTCATGCTGAGCGGGGATCAGTCTACTTCATTCTTCCGATGCTACATAGGAGTTCCTTTATGATTCAGTTTCCTGATTTAGACAGTTATTACTGTTATTTGTTTAGTTTGGATTTTCTAGGGGTCCACACAGTATGGATTCCCGAGTTGTATTTTGGAGGATCAGTTGTATCAGAAGAGTTTATTAATTAATAGAAATATATTATGAGGTTTATTATTAGATTATCATTTTAGTTTCTTGTCAGCATTTTATTTATTCTTCTTTATTCTTTTGTACTTTGTGTTCGTTTATTGCCGATTTGTTTTTGATATCCTCGAGTATTCGGGCGTGGGCCTGGCTAACCCGCATTCGTAAATCCGGGGGTATCACAAGACACCTCTTTGATTGACAAATATTGTTTCTGTTGGTGTTGTAATAATTGGCATATTAGATTTACCTCTATCCTGTTACTGAAATAAAACAAAACTCATCACCAATTTTGATATTTCGAAATCTATTTTAGTAAAGATCAGATTATATGCTTTGAATTTGTTAGCGCCATATATCCTTTTCTTGCAGTGCATGCTTTTCAACCACGACTCTTATTGGGCTGTCACACTCATCTTTTCTCTAATTACAGAATATGTGGATGAAGCAAATCAATGAGAATGACATGGCATGAGGATTTCACCTCGTACCCAAGTCTACCAAAGTTATTTACGAGGACACTATAGAAACCAGTTTCAAGACCTAAACCTTTGAAATTTATTTATTTTATTTATTTGTTTTGTGATTTTGGGAGGTTCCTTGCATTGAACACTAAATAATTGCATTTGAGTTTATGGAGTTACTTGCTGACAATATTCAGTTATATGATTTAGCGGATATTAGCAGGCTGTCATAACAATCTGGATCCGGGATTAAGTACTGATTTCCTTTTTTGGATATCAGGTTTCGAGGTTTGACATAACCTATTTCCTAAAGTTTTATTGCAATAAATCACATTAGAAATTTACCAGAAACACATCCAACTAGAAAGAGAAACAGAAAAAGAAAAGAGTCAAGCTCACATCTTGATAAGCTTTTGCTTCAACAGTATCATCCATCAGTTTTTGAACATCCTCCAAGTTGATCTCACTTTGTAAAGCTTTCATTGCATTATTACCGGCCTTCAAACTATCAAAAACAGCCTTCTGCTTGCTAGCCAATTCAATATCTGCAACCTAGACCAAATTTTACACTTAGGTTTCTCCACATTTTAGGAAACAACATAACCATATGAAATGGTTTAAAAAAAGGAGAGCATGAACAAATGGAATGACAAAAAAAAGGAGAAATAAATGACAAAGTAACAAATAGATTCAATTATAAGAAAATTACTTACTTGTTGCTCAACATTAATAAGCCATGCATCAACCTGCTTCAATAATTCTTCTTGCACCTTCTTCTTCTTCAATGCTAACAAGGCTCTGTCTTTCTTCTTCTCACGAAGCAAGTCCCTTGCAGCTTGCTTTTCAGCTTCGATGACAGCTTCCAGCTGAAAGAAAGGTGGCAGAAGGAGCAGTATTATCAAAACACGGCATAGATTTTGCTTTTGTAGACCAAATTACAGTTATGATGAATCCTAAAAACAAGGGAGATCCAATTTTTCCACCAAAAGTTGTGATATTTCAAAAAAAAATTCCAAATGTTCACATTCAAATTAACAAAATCCTCCACTGCAAAAATTAAAATAATTCATATGTCGAAATTATGTTGCACAAGTCAATGATTCCTTTTGTTAGCTCATAAGTGGGCAATCCACAGAGAGAAAACTTAAATGAAGAACTAGGGCCATAGAACATGTTCATCATCATCGTTATCATCATCATCATTGCCTTAATCCCATATGAATGCAGTCGGTCACATGAATTCTCTCTCCAATCTTTCTATTGCATGTCATTTCCCTTACCATGCTTAACTTTTTTAAGGCATTTTTAATAACTTCATCCCGTGTTATTTTTGGACGCCGTCTCTATCTCTTTCCTTCTATTACAACTGGTCTTCCTCTTTTCATTGGCGTCTCCAATATATATGTTTACTTATAAAAAATAAAAAAAGATCTCCAGTATATGTGTCTAAACCATCTAAATCTTCTCTCTAATTTTCTCACCAATGGGCGCTACACCTAATCTCTCTCTCTCTCCACCTTAACATTCTTATTTCCGCTACGTGAATGCGTTATTCTTGCCACTTTTTTAGTGCCCAACACTCTGCCCATAGTTGGTTTAATCACAATCCTATAATTTTTTCCTTTTTGCTTATGTGTTATTCTTTTATCACATAATTGTTATCCGGGGCTTATTTGTTATTAGTTACATAATGTTGGGGCTTATGTGTAATATTTGAAACTTGTTATTATAAATAGAATATGGTGGAAGGATTCTTTCATCCTTTCTCTCTTTCCCCACTCTCTCTCTTTTTCTCTCATCCTCTTTCTTCTCTTTTTCTTCTTCTTATACTTTATTCTTGATTTGATTATATCTTAAAGTCAACATGGTATCAAGACACGGTTTGTAAAGCTCTAAGTGTATAGTTGAAAACCTAGGGCAAGTTTATGTAAACCCTAGTGGGTGTGAAGGGTTTTTAAGAGATTCCAAGATGGGATTTGTTTGCAAGGAAGTAGTGTTAATCACATCAGCATGTACCGTATATCCAACTCCGCGGTGAGTTGGCTAGGGGTTGCAGGCTATATTACATGAACTCGGGTACGAGTGTCGGACACGGGAATGTATCCATGTATCGAACGTGTCAAATTTCCAAACAGAAGGACACATGGACACGTCTAAATATTCATTTTATTAATTATTTTATTTTATTTTCTAGAGTAAAGTATTGTTTTTTTTCTAATATAATGTTCAATATAGGCATTTAACTCTTTTTAAAGTAATAATATAATGTAATTGAATGATTGGATATGTTTTTTAAGTACATGTCTAACCAAAAGTGTCGAACACAACCCATACCCATGTCCGAAGGATATGTGTCCGACACAGGTAATTCACTACTTTTGAAGAGCCCATGTAACAGAGGTTGCTAGGGGCAGCGCGCCCCTGCTCGGGGTTCGGTGAGTTGGATCTGTTTTTGATGTATTGCAGTCTTGATTGGTGTTTTTTTCGTGTGCGCATCGTTCTGCAATAACGGCTTTTTCTTCGTCGTTTGCGATTCTGGTATGGTTTACTTTGTTGCTTTCTAGGGTTTGTGTGGTTGCTTTTTTATGCATCTCAGAAGTAATCTTTCTATTTGAAGTTTGTGTGTTAGAGAGGTGGTTCTCTAGGTATTTTGTTGCTGCTTTTGTTTCTGAGGATTGTATACCCAAAAACTGTTCGATAAAATGTCTGGCTCAGAGGTGACTTAAAAAGAAGTTGGGTCTTCTCCTAGTCTGACTCCAGTATTGGGAGGTAGTAGTGATCATCATTCAGGCCTTTGTATTAATACCGGTAGGCTGGATGATACGAACTTTATGGTGTGGGCTCAATTTGCTCGTATGCATATCAATAGTCGTAGGATGATCGACTATATCGAAGGGACTGACACGTATCCCTCCAAGAGTTATCCTGAATTCAAAGAGTGGAGTGCAAGTAATGTTGTTATTGCAGTCAATGCAGCCACAGATTAGCAAAGGGTTTCTGTTGTGAAAATTGAAAACAGCTACAGAGCTATGGACAGCTGTAGAAGAAATGTATTCCTCGGTTGGTAATTTTGCAAAACTGTATGAACTCCAACAACAAATTTCAAGATTCAAGCAGGAAGACCAAACTCTTGCTACATATTACCACACTCTACGTGGTAAATGGGAAGAGTTAGATCACTACCAAGACTACATACATGTGTGTGCAGTTGATGTTAAAGCATTTCGTGTTAGAATCTATGAGTTCTTGGATGGTCTGCATCTAAGATATGAGCATGCCAGGGTACAAGTGTTAGGCAAATATCCAACCCCTACTTTTGTTAGAGATGTGTTTTCGTATATCCAGATTGAGGAGAGTAGAATGAAGGCCATATCTGCACCTATATACACTAATCCTGAGCTAGAAGTACTCTGAGAGGTCTACTCTTGCCACACAACAATGGAACAAGCCCAATCCTCCAAAAGGAAGGAAGCAGGATAACAAGAGCAAGTTGAGGTGTGATCACTGTGGGTGTACGCGCCACACTAGGGAAACATGCTGGAATCTACACGGTCGCCCTACTCCATCTCCTGCTTATGCGAATGCTAGACCAAGGCCTGATCCATTTAGGGGGTTATCTACGGCACATACTGCAGAGAGTGAGACTGCTTCTACCGGTCATGCCTCCTCAGGGCCACCAAGTTCTGTGTCCGGGGCTAAACTTGATGCTCTTCGACATCTACTAGCTCAAAATGCCTCCATTTCCACCTCTAACTTCGCTCAGACAGGTACCTCTCATTCGGCGTATCAGGTTTCCACATTATCTGGTGAGCCACCCTGGAGGATTTGATTCAGGAGCCACTGATCACATGACTGGTATGGCATCTGATTTTTCTTCATACAGTTTATGTTCTGGTAAGGATAAGGTTAGAGTGGTTGATGGCACCTTCACCTCCATTGCTGCAGGGAAAGGTTTTGTTCATGTCTTTCATAATCTTACCTTATCCTCTGTTCTTCATGTCCCAAAGTCTACCAATAACCTCCTTTCTGTCAGTCACATTACAAAAGGCTTGAATTGTATTGTAACCTTTTGTCCATCTCACTGTGTGTTTCAGGACTTGGATACGGGGAAGACGATTGGAAGTGGACGTGAGGACATTGACTTGTATTTGCTGAATGGGAGGACAACTTCTTAAATGACCTAGTTATTGGGCTGATGCAACCTTAACAGCTACATACCTTATCAATCGCATGCCTTCTAAGGTTCTTAGCTATCAATCCCCCTTCTTTGTCTTACAGCATCACACTTCCTTGTTTGCTGTCCCTCCGAAAGTGTTTGGTTGTGTTTGTTATGTTCACATTCATCATCGCAAGGACAAAATGGACCCTAAGACAATTTGATGTGTCTTTCTTGGGTACTCCGCCACTTAAAAAGGGTATCGGTTTTATAACCCTACTAGTCGTCATCGCTTTGTCTCCATGGATGTTACATTGTTTGAGCTTGTTCTGCCCCCACCCCCCCGGCTGCCGCTCGGGATTCTCTACAGGGGGAGACTACTATACAGGTAGAGAATCCGTCATCCATTCAGAGGGAATGCCCCCTTCCTTTGCCTGTTTCCATTCAGGGGGAGCTTCTTACTAAGGTGCCTATGTCTAGTCCTCCTAATACTAATGATTTACAACAGGGAAAGCAACCAATTGTCTACACTAGGAGGGCAAAACAAGTCAATTTTTTTTTTTGATAAGTAGATTTTATTAAAGAAACCGCTCAAAAGGGGAGCGAAACCTAAGGACAAAACAAGGCCAAAATCGCCTCAGGCCTTCAAAGAGGCCAAAAAAACAACCAACTCCTCAACAGATCTAAAATCTCTCCCTGAAACCCAATAAAAAAGAGTGGAAATAATAAAGATCTTAAGCATAGAGATAGGCTTTGCCTTTCCATCGAAAAATCTCCGATTTCTCTCAAGCCAAATGCACCACCAAATACAAAGAGGCGTTGCCCTCCAAGCGTCCCGAATGAGAGCCCCCACATAAAATCCTCTCCAAGCCTCAATCAACCCTCTAGAGGATCCAGGCATAACCCACGGGATCCCAAACAACCCAATCATCAAATCCTAACAGCCTATGGCCATGCTACAATGAAGCAGAAGGTGATCAACGGTCTCCTCATCTCGCAAGCACAAATAACATCTATTAACCACCACCTGATTCCTCCTCCTCAAAATGTTCTGGGTTAAAATCCTACCTAAGACAGAAGTCCAAGCAAAGAAGGCCACCTTGAGGGGAGCCTTGGATCGCTAAATAGACTTCGAAGGGAAAAAACCTCTAGCGCCAACCGTAAGACACCTGAAAAAGGACCTCACCTCGAAGCGACCTTAAAGGTTAGGAATCCAAAGCCAACAATTAGAATCCCCAACTGTAATCATCTGTCGGTACAATAACTCCAAAAACCGGGTGACCTCCTCAATCTCCCAATCTTGGAAGTGCCTCCTAAACTGAACATCCCAAGTCAGTTTCCCGTTATTAAAATGATAACAGTCAACCACCAAGGCCTGCCTATGAGAAGCAATCCTGTAGAGCCGTGGGAAAGCCAGTGCAAGAGGAAGCTCCCCACACCAAAGATCCTCCCAAAATCTGATCCTCTTACCATCCCTTAAACGAAAACGAACATGTTTGCAGAAATCATCCCACCCCTTCCGAATGCCAGTCCAAACCCCCACACCCCTAGGACTACGCACTACAAGAGAACTCCACCCTCCACTGCTCTCCCCAAATTTATGGGCAATAACCCTCTTCCAGAGCCAACGCCTCTCCAACCCAAACTTCCAAAGCCATTTCCAAGGAGAGCCTTATTGAAAGGAAACAATCTCCTTATCCCTAAGCCACC